GGGTGCGGGCCGCGGCGGTGTCCCGTGCCGCCTGGGCGCCGCGGTTACATAAGTTACCGGTGCGGCGAACGAAGAGTTATTTTAGCGGGGAAGGAGTTACTGTCAGAGTGAATTAGGGTAAGCGAGGAAATGTGCTGATGGCAGCATGTTCGCCGCGCGGCTCCTGGGAGTTGCAGTTGGTTACTTACCCCTGGTGGGGAGCAGATTACGGCGGTTATTTTAGCGGGGAAGGAGTTACTGTCAGAGTGAATTAGGGTAAGCGAGGAAATGTGCTGATGGCAGCATGTTCGCCGCGCGGCTCCTGGGAGTTGCAGTTGGTTACTTACCCCTGGTGGGGGGCAGATTACGGCGAGCGCGGCCCGCTGCCTGGCTCCGGGTTGCGCTACTACCGAAATAACACCGTTAAGCTACTTGTTTTCCTTTACTTTTATTTAGAAATACCGCTAATCCCGTTTGTTTTGTTATAGATTTTTTTTGACCTAATAATATGCCAAGACCCTCTGTAAAATCTGTTGCTTAGCTTTACTTTTCGAAAGATTTACGTGTCAGAGGTCTTAAATGTTAACCAAATCAGTTAGTTTGCTTGCTGTGAGGATTTGAACCGTTTGAGTGGAAATAGGTACAGTGAGGGTGGCCACGGTGTAGTTTTCTGGCCCTTAATCACCACTACATGTATGGTAAAGTTACTTCATATACTCAGTACTGCCTAAATAGATTGCTTTGCAAAAGTAGTCATTAAAGACCTGACTTCAAGTTACTAAGCCATGTACTTTGGCTAGTAAAGAGCTGCTAGAAATTAGTGAATTTTTAGCTTATGGTTCTTGGCTAGAAGCAAACCACTGACCTCAAAATACATATTTCAGCTTGTGTTTTCTGAGAATTTCAATTTCAGCGCTTGCTCCTGAAAGCACCTAACAAATCTTTTTGTGATCTGACAGTCACTTTTATCCTTGAATTAAACGTGTACTTCCTTCACAAAGCAAATTACCTATATTTATAGTTCAAGTAGTTGTATTTTGCAAGCAGAGAAAACAGAATACCGTTCTCAAGAACAGAAGATCTTAGTTGAAGATCCAACTTTTTGGCAACACTCTATATATAGCTGTCTTTATCTGTTTTGTTTGTGTGTACTCACATGCTCGTAGTTATCCATTTATGCGTCGCTTCTACAACCTGGCTTACCGGGCAGCAGCTTGCAGTCTTGTCCATACATGAAAGAAAACTTCTCACTCATTTGGGTTGCTCGCTTGCTTTGGCAGTAACAATACTGGTACGTCAGAAGGATTGAGAAAACTTATTTTTGTTGCGTTAGTACCTCACAGCCCTAGCCAGGCCTAGCTGAAAATACTTCACTTAATACTTTTGCACAAAACACAAGAATAGCCATTGAAGGAAGGAGAAGAGAGAACAAAGACAGTGAGTTCATACACTGTGTATGTTATATGCTTAATTTGATGGTTTCAGAGAACTTTAAATTGTTTTTCACGTTTATAAAGGTTGCACTTACTGTTTTGTCGAATTAAGATTAGTTGAGTAGTTGCAGTGGAACATCTTTTTCAGAGGCAAGTGTATGATATAGCAAATATAGGAGACTTTTTGCTTCTAAAGACATCAGTGAAGAACACATCAAGGTATGTATTTTGCTTCATCCACCACTGAAAGCACCACAAATGAGCCACCGCTCTTGCCCGTCTAAAACAAAAAGCAGGTAGTCTTTCCTGGCTGTTGGAAAGAAGGAATTGCCATGTGCCTCCCTTTGCAAAAAGAGACGTATTTTCAAATAGCTAATTGTGTATTGGCAAAGCGAAATCAGTCATATTGGGTCCTTATGGCTGCAATAGTATGAAAATGAGTCATGTGAAATAGTAAGTAGATGAGCAGTAATAGAGCTGGAGTGGAATGTAAAACTGTCCATAAAGGAGATGGTAAAATGTAAAAGAATCTCACATCGAAGCAGTGATTTAATCCTGTTTTACTTGTTGATCTTGGCTTAATTTGTTGAAACTTTCCTGACACATGTATGTATGGTATGTTCAGTGAGTTACACACTTGAGAAGCTGCTTCCGTTCAGTCATCTTTTGACCCTTAAATAAATGTGACTTTCATTTATATTGGAAGCAAAACCGCCTCTTGTCTTTGAAAGAAACTATTAAAGTCTGCTGACACTAGAATGAAAAAAAAAAAAAAAAGTAACATGAAAAGCTTTACCATTCTATCTTGGAGAGAGAAATTCTGTCACAAGCATTGTTAATAACTACTTTTTTTCTCATGTGTTAGTAGGCATCGATACTGTTACAGTAAACCCAGCATGTAAACATCTGAATTTTTCATGCTGCGTTAACATAGTTTTATGTTTGTTAATACAATTTAATATTTTGGAGTAAGCTTTTTATTAAAATTCTTTCTTTTAAATAGAATAATCTAACTTCAGAATTACACAGCTACTCTACGTTCTGATCTGCAGTTATTGAATGAAGACTTGTAGCAGTATGGAATTGCAAGTGAAATTATTAGGCTTCTATCTAATCACAGTGATCCGGAACACAGCAAGTTAGCTTTAGCGTAGCCTCTCTAATGATTAAAGGTGGTGCTTCTCCTCCCA